CATACCGTCCTGTAATGAAATGAAGAGCGACTCGTCTCCAATGGAATGAAAAAAACAAAAACGCTAGACTAGTTAAATATTTGAAATGTTCAAACGATAGCAAGGCATTGTATTTTATATATTTTATAGCTTTCATGCCAAAGACATGAAATACATAGACGTCAGTAATCGGTTAATGGCATGACATGGGCGCGTTTCACTCCGCCGCTAACAGTGTGAGTGCGTATGGTGCCAGGGAAGATTGTGTAAATGAACAGTGTATCGACCAAGGCTGTCGCTTTTACAAAAACTGTCTTCGAACGAGCAAACTCTTTCGTAACGGTTCGTAAATTCTCTAAACATAACGGTATTTTCCGTTAGAGCGTGTATCCAGCACATGTCAGGTGATCACACGTCATGTGACCGCTCTCTAATGGAACGCTCTCTAATGGAACGGACGCGCTCTAATGGAATGGCTCGAGCTAGGTCTATTCGATGATAACAACTCAAGCTAAAACGCAAAGACTCATGGGTAGACTCTTTGTAAACAATGGCACGCTATTTTGCGTTACCATAATACCATAGTCTGACATACATTTCATTATAGCGGTCCCAAGACTTTACACGGCCCGATAACAACTACGCGTTTCTGCGTGACGTTCCCATTGTTCCCACGAACTTTTGGTTCTCACGACGTTGCAATATTATTTAGAATCAACAACTTGCATGTTCAAGGTAGAAATTATAAACATTTTTACAGGAATTTTATAAATGCACTGTTTACCAATTGTGTTCAGTAGTGGCAATTTCGCAATGCTTTAACCTTTGACACACATTCCTGATAATCACGTGATTGCATGTTTATTCTGCCACGCTTTTTATTACTGAAGAGTTTGTAAGATTTTGTGAGAGATGGGGACAGCGAGGCGTTACCTCAGATGACCGTTCGAATGGAATAAAGTTTGACTATCTGTAACGAACTAATGTGTAATGGGTCGAATCCGGTATCTCCACAGCGTAAGCGTCAACGGCTAAGTGAGACCAAGTTCCCTACGACTTAGATGGGTGCAATCAATACAGTTCAAAGAAACAACTGTGCAGTCGTACGTCGTTTAAAATACAGTAAATCTCTCAAAAACATTATTGTTTACTAACGGACGAGAACAGATGAAAACAAAACCGACGTCGTGAATGACCGACATTTTCACTCAGAAGTGCTTCATCGCCACTGAGGGCGCGGACGACTTATGAGAAAAGCTTATTAATTGGCGTCCTAAATAAAGTCTTGCCCATTTCTCCTTATAGTGCTATGTGGGGGACGTCAAAAGAATCGAATAAAAGAAATTAAGTTTTTTTTTCTAACAAAATCTGATGAAATCATTGGATACCCATGACGTCATTCGCCGTGTGGGGTATCACGTGTCTGGTAGAAATTGAATCAACGTATCCATTGATTCGTACAAGAGAAGTAAATGATTTGTTCTCACATCGAGTTGATACCTACCGGTAATTATGGATGAGACTATGATCGGCAGCACGGCGCAGAACAACGCACGCATAAACAGTTCCCCGGGTAAATTGATCCACATGATGACGTCATCCGATGGGTTCACCGTCTTGAAGCAAAGATTGTGGTTATTAAATGATTCATAACTGTTATCGCTTTGCAGATGAAGTACATGACAATGTATCGATGAGTATAGAACAAAATATTTGTGAAATGATATATTTTGAGAGAGGGTTTTATATTTAGCTTCATATTTTTTCACACATGTATACAAAATGTTGCAAAAACTTGTTGGCGGCACAAAATATGGTGCTCGAAGGGTTGAGTTATCTCCCGGACATTGTCCATTTCAGGTCATCGGGAAATACCATAACGAAATATTCTATATTTATCAAAACACGAATAGGTCACAACGATTGGAATTGTATAAATGTAAACAACGATAATTTTAAAATACTTAGAATATGGAACCATCTCATCAGACTAAAGCACTACGATCCATAATAAATTGTCTACAACGAAAAAGTCAACATTAAGCACCACTAAGCGAGTGTAACGACACCCTGGTATCGCCACTGAGACATCGCAGTATCTCGACACAGTAACGTAGCTATACATCTTTTTTGGTCTGCGCCCTTTAGAACAAAAAGCTCTATAAATAAGTGAAACGACGGCTGTTCAAATCGTCGATTTGTTTTATCTGTAATTTTATTTAGGATTTTGAGATATGTTACAACTACACAACCAAACCGAGCCATGGATTTGTACGACAATGCCTTCACCCTTTTACGTCATGTTGACGTCTAGCTATTTCGTTAAAGGGCGCGACATGTATATTTCTAATTGCTTCGTATGCTCTAGGTCAATCCTTTCGTATCGATGCCAGTATTTACCTTGATCGCTACGGCGAGTACAAACCCGACAATTACTCCAACCAATGTCAACAGCAAAAGTGCGTTGTCTTTAAACCAACCAATCATACATTCCCTTGAACATTTACAGCAGCCCATGTTAGTTCTTCAAAGTTCCTGCATGGGAAAAAGTCATAACTTCTACGGTTACGGTGATATTACCATTTAGTAAAATGCCCACGAGGAATTCCTTTTAACAGCTTTTGAAGTTTCAATAAGGGATTCTTAATTATTTTTATTTCGACATACTTTAAATTTCTTCTATGAAAATAATTAGTGTAAATTTTACTCCCTGAAAACATCTACTACATCGTTAATAGGATTGCTCAATATGCATCAAGAAATAAAATGATCCCAATGTCCTAAGATACGTTGCAAGAAATATACGATACTTTAATCTTCAACTCATACATTTCTGAAATTGAGCATATTCATTCACGTGATCGCAATGATGTCAATATCAGTGAGATCGATTCAGCAAAAACATTGGCCATTGAGTAATGCGAAAATTTTGGGTTGTTTGACGATCTATATATTCCAATCCTGTGAACGTATGTATTGGCCACACAGCTCTTTTCCAAGTTTCGTCCGTTTATCAGGCTAGAGTTCCAAATTATAGAGAACCATTTTACGACATGTGACTGCATGTGAGCCCATTCTAACCGTTATTGTCGAATAACGTAGAGCAAAGTTTATATCAATAACTTGATCGTTCATAACATTGTGAAATACGATAATACGATGTGTATGTTAGCTTTGCTTATTATGGCTGGGTGATACAATTGTGTAAAACTACACAGATAGCGGTGGATGGCCTTAAGTCAACTATGTGTTACTGAAACATACATGATAAGTGTTATTTGGCATAGTAAGCACTGACCCAGTCGGAACGTCAGTGTAGATGACATAGTGCAGTCACTTTT